CTATTCGTACCTTCATTAATACATTTTACAGCCAACTCTCCGTAAATGTCCTGTAGATGCGTCTCCAGCACGTTTAGAATAACAGATCCTATTTCGTCCTTTGTTTTTCCCAGGAAATAATCGCTTGCTCGAGCAAAATGTTGCAGATCCTGCATGATTTGTACATCGACAATTATCGATACAGAAACACGTCTTCGTTGCGTTGTCCTCACATTTTTGAAAACGTGTTTAAATGTTAACACGTCCAAAGTTAACCTGTGGAAATAATGTTGTAAGTGAAAGAGGAAATAATACATATATATGCTATAAGGCGGTTTAGTGTGTAGTATCAAGGATGGCATGATTGTTCACAAGTCAAGCTATGTGAATTTGGTCAGCCTGCAAAGAGGTCCGGCGCCTTAGTTAGAATACAAGAGACAACGAAGGAGCCCAATTCTTCACCTTAACTGTCTATTAATAGAATTATAAACTTTAGCAGGGCATATGCATGATAACTGATATGAACGTAAAATTAAATTGAATTTAAATTTTGAAAACGATTCCAATGCTATACACTTGACTGCTCTGTGAGAGGTATACCTTACAGCAATTTATAATGTGTAATATTCATGATGATATTGAAAAAAAAAGTGTAACTGTTTGAATTCTGGTTTTCTGCTTATTATTAGGGTATTATAGGACCCGTATACAATACCTTTCGACTTTACTTAGACCCGCCCAGGCCCATAAACATTTCCACTTTCCAGCAACAGCCTTGTATTTTTGAGTCCTAGGAATACAACATCCTCCTGTGAAGAAAAAAAATGAATTTGAAATAAAGGAAATGGAGAGGTTTATAGCACAGAAAATTATTACTGGGAGCGTCAGACTTGAAATCAGAGGACCCTTGGGTCCAAGGTGCACACGGCATCCTCTGAAAAGGCTCTGAACCAATCTGGGCGTGAGGGGAGGGGGAGGGGAGGGAGAAAAGTCGAGAAAGCCTGAAAAGACAGGGACAGGAGAAGGGGAATGAAAGAAGGGTTCTCTCCGCAGTTCCCTTGGGAGCATTTTCCTGGGCAACAGCTTACCAGAGGGTCTTTTGCGAAAGTATCATCGCTGCGGGCAAGTTCCTCTTTATTTCGAGTGGTAAGTGACGGGCCGCGAGAGAACGCGCTCGCATCTCCTTTCGCGTGCTGCTCGCGCGTAACTTCTCACGGTATCTCTCCGAGAGCTTGCTCGCAGGCTAGATAGTATCTGGCAAGAACAACTCCTTTTTTCGCTGAATCCAGATTTTTTATGGTCAAAAGATGTTTTAATATAGCTTTTTATATAGGAATCTGAAATATGTGATTCTAAACGGAGGGAATGAAAATGAACTATTCGCTTAAAATCCGGAACAAGAACATTGTACAATCAAGAGAACATAAAGGTCCTGTTCCCTTGTGTAAACTCAGTATTTATTTCAACAGATGTTTTCAAGTTCTTTTAATAACAATATCCAACCAATGTTGTCAATGCTGAGGTTTCTCCGCGTATCTTAAAGCCAATGTTGAAAGAACGATAGCTACAATATTGTGCTGATGCACTCTTTGTACTACTTTAGTACTTACATATCGCCTCTAAATATGTAAAGAATGCAAAAGTCTATTTCAAGAAACTTTATTATCTATCTAAGGAACGTACTAAGTAAACTCAAACGATCTTAAAAGGAAATGCCCTTAGTCCGTAACATACATTCTTAATACATGATCGAATTTGAAAAAATTTTTATTTGTTTTCATTTCAAACGACGCCCTACTGCCCCTTTTTAAATGTTAATGGGGTTCACTGACAATTGACAAACACTAAGTCACGGTAGGTCTTTTGTTCTCCAAAACGCTGGAAAACTATAACACTGTATTGGTTGGTACTAGGGCAGCTGGTAGACCTCGTAATGTAAATTTCAGACATAGTTAGAATTGATAAAAAGTTCTAACTGAGACGAAAAGATCTCACAAAAGCAAGAAAATAGCGATGTACTATATCGCGGAACTCGAATCACTTTAATTGAATATCTTGAAACCGAGCAGTTCAGTTCCGTCACTTAGGATTCTTTAGTCTCTTGAACCTGTTTTCAAAAGTATCAGCTTAGTATCGTAGTTATTTAATCAGTGATTTAATGTTAGAATTGGCATTAATCAGTTAAGCAAACCGCACACCTTTAGATTTATTTGTAGCAAAAGAAATAAATTTAGAATTNAACTGCCTCTCTGTCGCTCGCCATATGGCAATTACCCATTGTACACCGAATTCTTCAGCGATATCTTGTTAAAAAACCAATAATTTTACCTTAGAAGACGGTAAAGACTGCTGCGTTTGTGCGCTTTTAGTGAGTTCTTCGAGGTAATATCACAATATCCGTTTAGAATTAGGGTCATATGAGAATGCAATGCGCTTTTATAAGTCATCACGTCCGAGGTGATACCTTGAAATAGCTGACATTCCTGAACGAGTCAAGGGCTGCTTAAAAGACTAGTTCATCCCCGGTTTTACGTACCGGTATATCAAATTAAGACAAACGGCAGTCCATACTTAGAAGACAACAATAATCAACAATGCAATGTGACATTTTGAAAGGAAATTAGTTATTAACCTTTTCTCGACCGCGGAAAATTTACTTCAGTCACAATTTTCTCTGAAGTTAATCCGGTCATTCACGCACGTGTAAACTGTCAGTCCTTAAAAACATACAATACGCTAAAAATAGCAGGGCAACAATCCCGTTTCAAGTTCTTTGGCATTCTTATTTCAAATTCTTAAAAACAGAGAAATGGAGACCCTGGAGCATTTAAGTTTATGGTGCAGAAGAGTTACTAGTTGTCAGCTCGGCTTAAGTTGCCTCATTGTCAATTCCCTTTCGTAAACAATCGAGAAAGCATTTGGCTTAGAGAGTGGATTTGACAGCAGAGTTTTTGTAATTTAAATTTTGTCTCAGTAACGATTTTCTTTTGGGTGTGATATTTTACTTGTGTTGTTGTTGTTGTTGTCTTTTTTACTATATATGTATTTTTGTAACATGGGGTCATGACGTATCTCTTGCTAAACATCCGTAGAAGTAAAATGAAACTGCTACCGGCTTAAATCTTCTGGTTTTATTGTCACCGCTCCTCTTCCTTTAAAATGCAAAATACGACTCAAAAGACAATTTTTTTTCTCGCCTCTTGATCAGCCAACGAAAAGAGTCGGTTGCTTGCCACGCTCCATCGCAGACGATAAGCTACATAAGTGACACGCTATATTTCTACTCCGGTAAACAATGACTAAAATAACTTTTCTTTTTTGAGTGATTTTTTTGATATAGTTTGGTTTGATACAAGCTGACGAAATAATAGGAAATTTTTAATTTTAACCGAAAAAGCAAAAAGCCGCTCATCACCGTCATCTTTAGGCTGGCGTTTGGTCGGATCTATCGCTCTCATACATTCCTTCTTCTTTTTCATTTTGATGAGCGTCAAACTCAGGGTTATATTTTAATCTATAAAACATTAAAAAACGAAAAATATAATCGTAATTTTGATTTATTTTTCAGCTATGTTACCTTTTCCTCGGATTTTGCAGACGTTGCCAAATCTAAGAGTCAGTTACATCCGACGCCCCTACAGGGAAGAACGTGCATTCGTCCAGCAATTCATGATCACTTCAAGCGCGCGCCTGTGAGTGTAGCCAGTCTGTAACTTTTGATTTCCTGTACATTTTATTCTGATTACGAGCAGTTGTCAATGCCCATATGATATGTTTATTTCGTACAAAATTATAAAGTGCATTTGTTTTCTCCGTCCACGCAGAATTGCGTTGAGAAATGCAAATAGACCAAAACTGGCAGAACTTAAAACTAAACTTTTAAAACGGAAAAAATTCCAGTCAACTGTAGCTTTCAAGCAGTTGTTCAGTTTTATCATGGATAATAGAGAGACGTCTTTTTATTATCCATGGTTTTATCCTGTCACAGCCAAGCTGAATTATTATTGTGTAGAAAGAGGATGAGTTCAGATTCTGGATGAAAATACGAAATATTATCTGCGACAGAACGTCTCATAGTTATCAAACCTCGAGATACTGCAATTAACGAAGCACTTAGCACAAGTAAGCCTTTCCGGTGAAATAATGCATTATACCGCCTCCACTATTTGTGATAACAAGCATATTTATTTGGCTTTTGAGGGAGTATTGTGTAATTAAGATGTTATCTTCAAAATCTCAAAAACAAGCAACGGTATACGCATCATAATCAGCTAAAATAAGCAAGGTTTCTGCATTTCAAACATTAACTCAAACTCCGTGTCTTAGTGTGACGTTTATGAAACGTCTTTGTATCCCGTTACCAATCTCGTATTTCTTTAAATACTTTACCTAAGTGTGTGCAATTTTCTTTTTTTGAGTAGAATGAACTGATCTCGTCAGACCTTAAAAACTGTTTCCCTACAACATAGATTCGTCTTTTTGCCGCCAAAGAAAATCCAAAGACGAAAAAAGGCATCGTTCGCAGATTGTGTAATCGGCAGCCCAGTTTCTGTTGCCCCAAGTTATGGACAACATGATTTCAGGTATCCTTCTTTAGCTTGAAATCTGTTGCGTGTTACGTTCGGAGAACCAAACAAAACCCGCCCCCTTTTGCGTCTGTTATATAAACCAATCAAATTCTTAATATACGTTATGTGTTTGCTGATTCAGCTTTATGCAAATCTAAGTACTGATTTCGCAGCAGAAGATCTGAAACTGCACTCAAGGAAGTACTTTTATAGCTTTAATTCGTTTGAGCTCGAAGTTTGCGGAAGGGAGAACTTTGTATCACGCGCCAAACAATCGCATGTTGTTTTTGTACAAAAATCAAAGCTTAATAATACCTAACCAACTGAGCAGTTTTGAAAAAAAATTTTCACCTTCGGTTTCTATCCTGTCGCGCTCTTTAAAACTTACCTATTTGTTACGTCATTAGTTGGAATTCAAATAGAGAGGAGAAGTCGCTTCGTCACGTTGTCATGGTAGCAAAATTTCCGGATCTTATCAAAAAGTGGTCCTGCGAATATGGTAGAAAAACGAAAAAAATGACACGTATGACTTTTCTGTGGATGATTGCACTCATGAACAAAACGGTAACTCAAACTGTTCTTACATCGTTCGACGACGCAAATGGCTGTCCCTGTTAAGAAAATAAATCTTGAGATCCAAAAATTTTGCTACCATGGTAACGTGACGTCAAACTTCTCCTCTCTATTTTGCTGTGAATCTTGTGACGCCATTTTCCCGCCAAAACAGTGAAAATCGAAAAAAATGAAAAACATGCCATTTCACAAGCAAAGATTTTCCGGATTTCGGAAACTGGATTATACTCCCTTACTGAGGCGATGTGTCCTTTGTAGTCCACTTTTTACCTCCATTGTCCTTCCTTAGCCAAAGAGAGCTTTTTTGACAAACAGTTTTCATGTTAGTACAAGTATAGTACGGGGAAAAGTTGCCTTTGATCAATTGCAACTTTGTGCTAAGGTGTGACAAAGCTGGGCTGCATCAGACACTGGAAAGGGGGCTCCTGACCCTACATTCCCGCTCCTTTTCACGACAATCTCGCATCATTTTTATGCCGAATACCGTTTTCTTTCTCAGTTCTGCGCGCATCCCAGGCCATGATTTTGGAGAATCCCACCTCCCGAGTAGGGCCAAATTCCGTTCGCATCAATAAATTTCTGAAATTTTGCGTTTTCACGAATCTTGCTCTATTTTTCGGTCAAATCCCGGGTTCCAAGAATACCCTTCCAGATCCTGCTGCATCAGACAGC